GCATTTGCAGTGGCTGGCACACAGTAGGTGTTCATTGCGCGTCGGTTGAAGGTGGGTGCATGGCCTCCTGCAGCAGACATGGAGGTTCCTGGGCCTGCTCCCTTGCCGTTAGTTTCTGTGGAGTCCATTCTGACCCAAGGCAATCCCATCTGTCCAGAGTAGAACTCAACAAGGTCTCCAGAGGGAGGCAGATTGCCAGACCTGTTTCCTAAAGCACCTATCAGTGGGTTTGAACCGCCAACCTGTCGGCTAGTAGTAGAGCAATTAACGCATGTGCCACTAAAACAAAGAATCCAACTCTTGGATATAGAGTCAATTCCAACTCATAGTGACCTCATAAGACAGAGTCGAACTGTCCCATAGGGTTGCCAAGGTAGGATGCGTTGAGCTGTGAACCAAAAGGCCAGGGGTTCAAAACTACCAGTTTCTCTGCCCGAGGGCGAAAAAGGAGACTATCTGCTCCCGTAAAGACTTTCTCAAGTGTCGACAATCCAAAGGGGCAGTTGTACTCTGTCCTACAGGTTAGCTGTGAGTTGTAATCGACTTGATGCCTGGGGGAATCTTTAGAGGCAGGGAGAGGAGGCGGCCATCTGTCTACTCCTGTAAAGATTTACAGCCTCAGAAACTCTGATGAATCACCACAAGTCAGGATCAACTCGACTGCAGGGAGTGTGATCTTTGTGGAAACAGACGGCTACATCTGTCTTCCAGGGAGCAGCGAGGGGAACCCACCACTGACCTTCAGGTTAGCAGCGGAGCGCTTAACCACTGGGCCACCAGGGCTCCTTTCTGTGCCACGTGGCCCACTGTGCCCGACTCTGCTCACCAGGACCCAGGTGACCAGCATGCCCGCCAGGGTTGGCAAGCCGCAGCTGTGCTGTCTGAATAAAGCATAAAATGCTGATAGCTTTACTTTTGAGCATTTGCTGGTAGTGACTAAAATAGTCACATTATCATATATCTATAGGTTTCTGTTGCTGTAGCCATTTCTGTGGAGTGGAGGGGCTCTGGGTGTCACACAGGGTGAGCGCCGAGCCCCCTGCATTCATCTTGGGGGAGACAAGGCCGATAAAAAGGCAGGGAAGACAGGAGCTGGCCATGTAGCTCCAGCGCTAGGCCTGCCCTTCACTTGGAAGTTATCAAATAGGAATGTGCCGCTCTTCCAGTTTGCAAGGGGTGAGGTTTCTCTCAATCTCTTTCAAGGGTGAGACCACACAGACTGACCCCACAGGCCTGGGTTCAAATCTCATCTTGGTCTCAAAAGCTTAACACATTTTAAGCTTTAGCTTCCACAGCTGTTCAATGGACACACTAACACGGCTATTCAGGATTGGAGCCCTGGGGTGAGGTGCTGGGCTAAGGGCTGGGCTGTCAACCAACACGTGCCCAAAGCTGCTCAAGGGGAGCCAGGGGAGCCAGTCTACTTCCGTCAGGATTGACAGCCTTGAAAGTACAACAGCAACCATACTAAGATTACAGTCTTGCAAGCTCGGGTGGGGGTGGGGGGGTCGTCTAGTCTGGGTGACAGGGTCGCTATGGGTCGGGATCAACAACAATGCAGTGGGTTCTTCAGGACAACTGGAAGGAGAGAGATGCTAGAAGCTTGGCTGTCTGAAAGCTGCTGAATTTGGGCTGATACTGATTAGCTCTCCTAATATCCAGGGTGGAGGGGTCTGGAGGGGTCATCCGCCTAACTCATTCCTTTTCCCCACTGGGTGATACCTCACAGAGGGGACACACATTGGCTATGATCATCTAGCCCCACAGTGGCTTGAGAAGGCACTCTGGGCCTTTCATCCCTGAGAAGAACTTCACATCCCTCCACAGACTCAGAGGTGACAGGCGGAGGTAGTGGGATGAAGGAATTCTGGGGACAAGTTGCCTTTGCCAAGGAAGCTAGATGGCTCAGGTGAGGCTTCTTCTTGACAGCTTCTTGCCAGGGCCAAGGGTACTAAGATGTGAAAGGGTCCCTGAGGATGGATCATTTGTAACTCTTCTTTCAACATTGGGGTTTTAGAACAAAAGGGTTTGTAGCCAAGGTCAGGGTCTCTCTGAAGGGAGGAAGAAAGCTGGAGAATTGAGCCTTCCCCGGGGAGGCCTTGTCTGGCACTGCAGCTAGAGATGTCTGGCCTGGGGGACCCTCTGAATCTGGATTTGGGTCACGAGAGGCACACAAGTCAGACAAGAGCCAGGCTGGATCTAGTGGGGACAGCTCGAGCTGTAGAAGACCCTCTGAGAACTATCCCACACAGAGCCTAGGCTGGAGTCCAGAGGCTGCAGCAGGAAAGCATAGGAGCACTCGGTTTTTCAGTGATGGAGATGATGATGTTGATTTTAGTGGTGATGATGATGTTGATTTTAGTGATGAAGAGCATGATGCTGGGTAGCCTTTCACGAGAACTCCTAGCCCGCCCTGCGCACAGTGAGGCCCTAGACTGTCCTTGCATTGTTTCCATCAGCCCTTCCATGATCCAGGGTGGAGTAGCACCACTGTTAAAGACAAGGAAACCCACTGTTAACCTGAGAAGCTATGCAAATGACCAAGGACATACAGCTAATTAGCACCAGGATTCAAATCCAGATTTATGCAACTCTGAGGGCTAGTCAAAGCCCAGGAAGGAACGAAAGTTTAACATAGGCTAATGTATCAAGGAATATTTTCTCCCCCTTTATATAGGCAGGGAAACAATGGACCAGAGAGGGTGGAGCTCTAGCCTTTCCCTCCGTGAGGTCAGCACTGTAGCAACCAATTTGCATGTATTAGCTCTTTAAGGATCATAACATGCCTGTGGAGTCTGTAATTTTATGACCCTTATTTGTGTAGCTGGGGAAACTAAAGCCTGGTCCGGATTCAAAACCAGACTGTCTGATCCAGGGTCCTTGTGGGTAATTTTGAGAGTTGCCCAGAACGAGCTATAAAGAAAGGCACTGGAACTCCCAACCAAGTGCTCCAAGGCTTTCTGCTGGAATGCATTGTTCCTTAAAAGTGTGCTGGCCCAGACCCAGAGAGTGAAATCACAGCCTGTGGTTCTGGGAGCCCCAGCCTGCAGGAGCAGGACGAGGATGAGGAAGCGCTCACTCCAGAGTTCAAGTCTGAGCAGGTGCGCTGGAGGCTCTCCCTCTATTTCCTTCTCTGGTGGGAGGGAGTCCATTCCGGGGTGGGGGGTGAGGGAGGGAGGGGCGGGGAGGCGGTGGTTGGGCAACCCAGTGAGTACTGGGCAAGCAGCAGGCAGGCATGTCCAATAAACAGGCCCAAGCCTTCCTTCCCCTGTCCCTTAGCATCCTCACCTCCTGTCAGGCAGCAGGCCAGGGCCATGGAAGTTCATGGTTGGAGTTGGGAAGCCTCACTGAGTTCTGGCTTGGGCCTAGGCACTCACGTGCTGTGCTCCCTGGGACCTGGACAGTCAGGGTCCCACTCTGTACCATGTGTGGGCTCTGATGGCAGTGGCCCTCCAGGTTTCCCGCGAACTCATTATTTATGAAGCGTCTACTATGTGCCAGAAAAGGAGCGCTGGTGGCCCCCTGGCTATAGCACTCCTCTGTGGACGAAATGGGCAGCAGAAATCTGCCAGCCGCTCTCTGAGAGGAAGATGTGGAGGTCTGTTTCCATGAAGGTCACTGCCTATCAGAACCACTGGGTACTCCGTTTCTATGCTGCATCACTGGGAATGGTCTGGCTTTTTTTCCTTCAGTGCCGGAAGAGTCTTTGGGTAGCACAAACGGCGAAACTCTCAACTACGAATCGGCGGCCGGCGGTGTGAACCCACCCAGGGGCCAGAGGGATCTGCTTCTGAAAGGTGGCCACTTTGGAAGTTCCACGCAGTCCTTCTAGTCTGTACCCATGGGGTTGCCAAGAGTCCAAGGCCCTCCACACAGCAACCGACAACACAGCACGCCAGGCCCTGGAGACAGAAAACACACTGAGAAAAAAAAAACCAAAACCCAATCTCACGACTCCCCCCCATCCGGGTTTCCAAGGCTGGAGTCTTCACAGAGACGCACTGCCGCATCTACCTGCCTCCCTCAGAGTGGCCAGTGGGCTCAAACTGCTGACCTTTCAGTTAGCAGACAAGTGCTTCATCACTGGGCCACCAAGGCTGCACACCTGAGGGCAAATGCAGACTCCTGCCCAGCTTCCACCAGGCTGAGCCCAGTAGGAAGAGACAGAGATCGTATCATCATCCACGCAAATGTGACTGCCAGAAGGACCGGAGTTTTAAAGGAGACTGCAAGAACTAAGGAGTCCCGTGGCCGTGTGTGTGTGTGTGTGTGTGTGTGTGTGTAGCCTGTAGGGCTAGGTCATTTCTAGGCATTGTGAACACCTCCCCCGTCCCCACCCCCCGTCGAGGGCGGTGTAAAACAGAAATGTTCAGGTTTAACAGAATATGGGTTAACGCATCCTTCAAGGAGCGGATAAAATTGGCACCTCCTCCGGCAAGCCTTCCTTGATTTCTCTTGCCCTCGAATATTGCTCTCTCCTTCTCTGGCTTGGCACCCTGGGTGAAGAAGCAAAAGCATTCCAGGCTGTCAACCCTGGACCTCTTTTTCTTTTGCTACTGAAGTTCACTGGAGCTTCAAACGAAGACCTCCGTCTCTCAGGGCCTCAGTTTCCCGGGTTGAACAGAAGCAGGTTGTCTCGCAGGGCCCGCCCAGCGCTAACGCAACGTGATTCGCTCGGTAGGAGCGGGGGGCTGCCCGCATTGCTGCGCAGGAATCAGGCTGCAGGCTTGGGGCACCGCTACCGGGCTGCGGGCGCTTTCTCCCGGGCTAGGGGCTGCGGGCTTGGGTCGTCGCGCTCCACGCCGCGCGGGAGAGTGGGGGCGCGACCCCCTGCTCGGGCGGGCGCGCGCGGCCCCGCCTCCGCAGCCCGCGGCCCTGCGGCAGCCTGGGCCTGGAGCTCCGCCCTCCGCCTCCCGCCGGCCTCTCTCTCTCCTCCCTCCTGCTCGCTCGCTCGCTCCCTCCCCCCGGCCGGCTCGGCGCTGACTCCGCCGCACGCTGCAGCCGCGGCTGGAAGATGGCGGGGAACGACTGCGGCGCGCTGCTGGACGAAGAGCTCTCCTCCTTCTTTCTCAACTATCTCGCCGACACACAGGTACCGCCGGCCGAGGTCCAGGAAGGGGGTGCGGAGCCGATAGGACTGCCTCCTTTCCCGCGGGGCGGGGATGCAGAGGGGAGCGCACTGGGGGCGCGGGGGTTCCAGGCTGCAGAGCCCCCCTTCCTTGAGCCCTGCGTTGCGCTCCGTTACGGGAGCAAGAGACCTGGGGGTCCCCCTGCGCTTGCCGAAGCGCTGGGGGCGCTGTGATCCTTAAGGGAGGGTCTAGCTCTGGCCGCTTGGAGTCCTCCCCTTCGCGGGCAGACTGGGGGTACCGCGGCAGACTGGGGGAGCACAGCCGCGCCAAGATGTGGGGGGCCCTTGGGCTAGCGCTGGGCACGGGAGGCGCGCCCTCAGCGCCCGGCACTTGCTATCGTAGTTTCACGTGGACTTGTGGCCCCAGCACGAGTGACTCCCCCAATCTCCGGAGCCCCCTCGTCTTTCAGCCCCTGGTCCCCGCGGGTGCTGCTGCTGGCCCCCCGCGGCTCCCCAGCAGCGCCCGCAGCGCGGAGTTTCCTGCCAGTTGCCGGCTCTAAGGCTTAGTGGTTTGTGGGGCACGTGGACATGCGGGCGGGGATAGCGCCTTCCTGGTTTCGCTACTCAGCGGAGCCCCTGGGGAAAGCACGGCAGGCAGGATGGGGACTCGGGGACGATCTGGGGGCGCCTGGGTCCCCCTGCGGCGCGCGGCCCCGGTGCGGGCTCAGTGCTGCAGGGGGAAGGGAAGGCGAGGCGGCGTCCCGGGCTCCGGCGGCGCCTGGGAGCCTCACCGACGTCGCGCGCGTGACAGGAGAGTGCGATCTGGTGTGCGGGGAGGGCCAGGTGGGGGGCAGAGAAACTGGTGGCTCGGAGACGAGTGTGCCGCTGGGACAAACAGCCGCCGAAAATGCCCGCACAAGGTGGTGTGTGTGTCTATGTGTGTCTGTGATTCCCACCCTTCCCCCATTGCTCTCACCCCATGCCTGTTGCAAGCGTAAAGTTTGGCCCCAGAGTTAGGGGTTTTTCTGGAGGCGCCCGCCCGCGGGGTGCCCGCCGGGAGACTCGGGGTGCGGCGGCGTCGCGGAGGAGACCCAGGGAGCGGGCGCCCGCCTGGGCGCCCAGAGGGACCGCCGCGCTGAACCGGGCGCGGCCCGCCGGGGCTGGTTTGGTACCTGGAGTGGCGGCGCCGGTGCCGGCTCGTTTTGCATAACATGGGTGGGAGGGGAAAAGAGGGGGGCGGGAGGTGGGAGGGGAGAGAGGGAAACTTTGCCTCTTGTTATAATCCGCCTGTCTGGGCGGCAGCAGCTGTCATGAGACCCGGTGGGCGGGGAGAAGCTTGCGAGCCGACTCCTTGCGGTGGAACGCGACTTGCAGGGGACGCAGCCGCCGAGACGTTCCGCTCCAGGCCGACTCCGGGTGGCGATTTCGGGCTGGCGACCGGGCCGGGGCGGCGCGACGGGTGTCGCCGAGAGGAAGCGTGCTAGGAGCCGGGGAAGGCTGGCCCTCCTTCGCAGCAGAGGACGCTGCGGCGGGGCGGCGCGGTGGGTGGCGGGTGCACTCCGGTGGGTGGGCTCGGGTTGGGGCCGAAGGGGCTGGTGGAGTGTGATTGAGCTTTGCTGGGCGGGCGGGAGTGTGGAGAGCAAGCGAGCGGGCTGTGTGTGTGTGTGTGTGTGTGTGTGTGTGCGCGTGTACACGCCGCGCGCGCCGGGCGCGCACCTTTACCTCTGACGAAACTGCGGTGGAGCTCCCGCCGCGGTCACCGGGTGCAGCCGTCACACGCCCCGCGCGGGTGTCTGCACCCCAGGCTGGTCTCAGCCCCAGCGGCTCCGGAGCCCACAGTCCGAGGCTGGGGCACCTGGAGCGCGGCAGGGCAGAGCTGCCTTTGGGAAGGCACCGTCCCCAGCCCTCTGACTAGGAGTGTCACCCACCCTTGCCGCCAAGAGGCGGGCTAGCGAGGCCTGAAGTAGCTTGGAGACCCGGAGCCGTGGCAAGAATTCGCCGGCTGAATCTGGCCCTGGGTTTTAACTACGGCGTCGTGTGCCGTGGCTCAGCAATACGTAACCAATTGCTCTTTTAGCCGCCCAGCCAGCCAATGCAGCAGGTACATTTCACCCACGCAGCCCAGAAAATTGGCTAATCGGGTGTCAGCAGGAGCAATGCAGTGAAAGTTAATCTGGGACCTTTGCTTTTTTATTGGACCACGTGACAGGCGGGTGCTCTTGCCGGCCCAACTTGGGAAATGTAATTGATAGGGTGAGCCTTGCAGCCGCCCCTAGAAGGCTCGGCACGCCGAGCCTGAAAAGGACGTGGGCGGGTCATCGCGTGCCTCCTCGTTTTACAGTTGGGGAAAGAGGCTGCGAGGGGTGAGCGGCTTGCACAGGACCACGCAGCCAGCGGGTGACAGAGCCACCCAGGGCTCCTGACTCCAGGTCCTGTGTGTTACCTCGAAATAGCACTGGACTTGGAGTCAGAAGGCCTGAGTGGAGTCGCCTTCCCCACTCTCCGGCTGCGTGAGCCGGGCAAGCCATTTGAACCCGCGAGCCTCGTTTCTTCATCTGTCAAATGGGGCTGGTGGCGGCGGCATGCGAATCCGGTGGCGTGGTGGCTGGTGGGGTGAGCACCTATGCATGTGAGGTGTCTGCTTGTTCCGGCAGCGTCCTCTCCTTGTTTCTCCCTTCCCTCCCCGCTCCTCTCCCTCCACCTCCACCTCCAGTCGTCTGCCTCGCCCTTTGGGAGGGGTGGGGGAGATAGTAATTCCGTTTTGTCTTTGCTCTATAGACTTTGTTGTGTTTGGTGGCTTATGCTGGTGGGGGATTAACTAAAGGGCTTCGGCTCAGCAGGAGAGTTAACTTTTACCCATTCAGGCCAAAGTACAGACATTTCCTAGAACCATGATTGTGAAAGCTTCTTAGAAAGGTTGGAGGCATGGTTCCCCAAGAAGTTAGGGTTTACTTCACCTCTGCCCTGGCCGTGCAAGCCTCCAGTGCCCTCACCCACCAGCCTGCATAGCCTTCCCCTCCAGTGGGCCTTCCTGGCCCAGCCTGCCCTGCTGCCTGGTCTCCCTCCTCAGCCAAGCATGCTGTGTGTGCCTGGTCTCCCTCCTCAGCCAAGCATGCTGTGTGTGAGCCCTGTGGCCTAGTAAGATTCTAGGGCAGGAGCTGGCCCTTTTAATTTTTTTGTGCCCGCATGGCACCTGTCACCATGATGAGCCTCATCCCTTCACTCAGCTCTTGGCTAGGGACCTGGATTACAGACAGTACAGCTGGGCCCTGCCCTGCAGAAGCACCCAGACTGGCAGGGGAGACAGCTGGGCCACAAGTGTGGGGAGAGAGGAATGCAGAGGACTGCAGCTGCGGGCAAAGACTTGGGCTCCAAAGGCCATGCAGTAAGCCCACACTAAATATGGGTTGTTTGCAGTTGTTGGGACATCAATCATAGATGCCCAAAGTGTCAGGGCTGGCAGGAATTTGATAAATCATCTGGTTCAATCCCTTATCATTAAAAAAAAAAAAAGTTGTGAAAATATTAGAGACTCCTGGCAAGTCTAAAGAAGAAAATGACAAATAGGTGACAATGGCTGCTCCTTTTTGTTTATCCTTCTGGTCTTCTTTCTTATTGGTTCATACGGATGACGTCTGCCTGAGAAAGATGAAGTTCTTCTGTGTATACTGTTTTGTAACTGGAATGACACGCCCGTGCCCCTGGAATGACACGCCCGTGCCCCGTTCTCCCTCATCAGTGTGCTGTGAACATCTGTCCACATCGATACACATTCTACTTTATTATTTTAATGGCTGTATCTTCAAGGGTTGAATCAAAATATATTTCGTCTGTCCTTTTTATCCCCTTGTTATTTGTAAGTTATTTTCCATTTTTGCTCATTTGCTCTTTATTGTAAGCAATGCTGAGACGACTGTCTTTGTGCCGTGTCTTATTCCTTCAATGAAGTTCCTGGAAGTGAAATGAGCCTGTCAAAGGAACCGGACAGGCATTTGGTAAGCGCATTTCTGGAAGGCCTTCTAGAAATGGTGCTTACTTACCAGTGTTATGCGGGGCAAGGCCTGGTTCCCCAGGCCGACCCAGAGAACTCTTGGCTTTTTTGATGTTTGTTCACTGTTACCACGCTGCTCCTCAATAAACCGCGCTGCCCTTCCTGTTTCATGTGCCTTTCTTTGCTTATCAGTGGTGCTGGACCTTCTCTCCCTAGGAATATGGTTCTGACTGGTGAAGTGAAGTGCCAGCTTGTGAACGCGGCCCATGATGCAATTGGTACCTCGCTCCCTTTGTTCGACAGCTGCTCTAAGCACTGAAGGGACCTTGGCTACCTGGACACCTGAGAGAGACTTACCACTGCCCCAGTGATCCTTTGCTCAGTCAGGAATATGGCTGCTTCTGTGGCCCCAAAAGCCAGGGCCAACGTTTTTTCCTAAATCAGACGTCCAGCCATTTGTAAGAGCAAGTTGAAGGGCAACTTGGATTGGGTGTTGTCCTTCACCCAAGTTGAGCCCAGAAAGGGCCTGCCTACTGGCTTTTCCTGGGGTCCCCTGAGTAGTGCTGTCAGACAAGCCCTCAGGTTGCCTGTGAAACCCAGGAAAGGCAAATGGCTCAGGACCTGGACCCCTGGCACTCCTATTTGCCCTCCACGAGGGCCCTCTTCTCCAGCCGCTGCAGGACAGCCAGGAGCTCCTCCATTGCCAGCGGATGAGTCACCCTTCTCCCACTCTGGAGGCATAGAAGGAACACTAGTTTGAGTCAGAAGCAGCCTTGCAAATGGGGACTGCAGCTTGGGAGGGAGGCCATCTGGGAGGAGAGCATTCTAGAGTGAGACGCACTCTTCCTCTGCCTCCGTCACTCTCTTCATCATCAACGCCATTAGTCGAGCATCCTCAGGGTGCCGCTTACTTGTCTTCCATTTGCACGATTGCATCTTCTGCCAGCATTCCAAAAGAACCAAAACCCCAAAACATTTCAGGTGGAGGTGCTGCAGTTGTCCTATTTCAGAGGAGTGTTTGACCATTTCCAAG